CAGTTCCCTCAAACTCAGCTTCACCAGGCTAACACTGGCCTTTTATCTCCCTGGTCTCTCACTGTCCTTTGGTTTGGAGTCTTGTCCCTGTTACCCGGTCAGCAGTGTCATGTGTGTGCATGTTTAAATGCTCTCATTTGCCTTTAACGTTTATCCTCCCTTTTTAATTGCCAGGGCTTTCCAGAACCTTTCCTGTACTATTTCAAACTTTCTACACATCATTTTTCATAACTGCAGACAAACCCGATGTGCAGACATGTCCTTCGCATTCAGCCGTCCCCTGCTGCTTTGCCACGGTGGAGTTGCTGAGGATGGCACAGGCAGAGTTCTAAATCCACCCCTCTGCCCCATGCAGGACAGTGCTGTGCTGCGAGGCTACCTGCAGAATAGGAGTGTCTTACATTTTAAACGCTCCCTTTGTATTTCAAACAGAAGTCTCAGTCCTGAGACTTAAATCCAGGCGTTGGAGCAAACACAGGCGTTAGAGCTTGAAATAAACACGATGGGGTGGGGGATTCGGGACAGCCTCAGGTGTACTACCATCCAGGAAGAATGTGGCTCCACCATAGCCAGACAAGGAAAGCTTCAGGAGAAGGGGGTGGCACTGTCCAGCCTGCAGCCGGCGACTGAGCACTGAGCAAGTCTGTCACCCGGAAGAAGATGACGTACTGCGGTGAAGACGCACAGCTCTGTCTTCCTGTCTTCCTGCTGGCCCCTCTGTCTTCCACACATGCCTGCCTTTGAGGGTGAGAATGGGCCATGTTCTCTTACTAGGCAATGGAAACAGACATTCTGGTTTCCAAATAGGCAGAGGACAGGACAAGGTATACCGCTGACTGAAAGACAAAGTGACACTTGGCTTCAGCTAGTAATTCGTCACAAAGGAATAGTGACAGTCTGACCTGATGATCAAAGCCTGTAAGGGCAGAGGGGGGGGCAAGAGAGAGGCGTCGCTGTCATTACTAATGTGAAGAATAGTTGGTGACTTCTTTTGTAAGGCAATCTGGAAACCTGAAAATATTGTTTTTTTTCAATACAAGGTTTTTATTGTCCCCAGAGACACCTCAAGTCATCCCTACACTTCAGGATCTTGTTTCTGCAGCTGGGTAACTTGGGTCTTGCTCATCGGCCTGCTGCACTATTTATTCCCTTCTCAAGTACACAGATGCCACCCAAAACTTTCTGATGGCCTTGTTTTTAACTGTTGAGGCTGGCGGTCTCATTTCCTTCAAGGGTTAATTCACCCTCCTGGGCTTGAGAGTCAGAACAAGCAGCACCCGACCTCATCTGGGCCCTGCGGTTGTGTTTTTCACCCCCCAAACTTCAGATTTCAGCCAAAGACCCTTTCTCTTGAATGAGGACATTGATGGGGAAGTGAGCGTCCTCAGACGTCACCTCGCACGGGAAGCCCAGGGTAACATCCTTGTTCAGGCTCTGAGTGTGACTGCAGGTTTCTGCAGCCCCACCCAGAGCCCCTTTTCTTTCTTGCCAAGGAGACTCAGCTCTTCAACAATTGATCGAAGTCCCTCAGAGGACTCCCCTGGGGTCCTTCACAATGACTGCGTGTCCCTCCGAGTGATGGTGACATTTTCTGGATCGCTGACGTTCTGAAAGCGGATAACGGTCGTCGTTCTCGAAGCAGATGGGGGCAAGGAGCAGCAAGCTAGAAATATTTAAAATACAAGTAGCCTTAACTGTGCTGACACCAAGTTAGGTTGTCTAGAGAGCAAACTCCCTTTAGTGAGGTCCACAGTCTCACTGAATCACCGATTGCTTATATAACACGGCAGCATCGTTTGCGCTCCCTTTAATTAGTGGCCTGATATAAAGACTCCATCCCCATGCATCCATGCGGCAGCATACTGCTGGGCACCCCACTAAAAACAATGAGGGGCTGACGTGACAGCGCCCCAAGTTGTTATTAAATGAAGAAAGTAAAAATAAATGAATTTTATAGCAAGAAACATTTAGAAAAAGTGTCTGGGGCCAGGAAGATGACTCATTTGGTAATGAGCTTCTACTCAAGCCAGACGACCTGAGTTTGGATCCCCAGGCACCGTGCTTAGGGCTGAGGGAACAAACTTCATATCTGTAACCCAGTTCTATAAGACAGACACATGGAGCATCCTTGCAGGTCATTGGGCAGCCAGCCTAGCCAATCAGTATGTTCTACAGTCAGTGGGAGAACCTGTCTCCGAAAAAAAAAAAAAAGAGCCATTGAGGAGTGTGACATGATGTTAACCTCTGGTATTCTCTCTCTCTCTCTCTCTCTCTCTCTCTCTCTCTCATACAAACACACACACACACACACACACACTCAAACATTCCATACACAATCACATTTTAGAAGAAATTTGTTTAAAAAAGACCCACAATGACAGAGGTCAGAAACTTGGGTATTCATTAAGAAAGGAAAAGCATTTGAAGAAGGACTACATCAAGGTCAGTTTTAATCACACTTTGTTTAGTTTTTGTCTACTGACTAGTTTTTGTTTATTGAGATAGAGTCTTGCTGTGTAGCCCAGGTTGACCTGGAACTCATGACCCTCAGATGTTTGCCTCCTGTGTGCTGGGGTTATAACTGTGTGCTATTACACCTGGTTCCTCTTATAATTTATTTATTTTGATAGTTCGAGACAGAGTTTCTCTGTGTAGCCCTGGGTGTTCTGGAACTCGCTGGTCTCAGACTCAGAGATCCACCTGCCTTTGTATCTGGTCATGCATATTTGTAACACAGACAAACACTGTGTGTGTGTGGCGTGTGTATAAGTGCAGTGAAGTACAGGAGGGTGGATGTTTTTCTTTTTACAGACAGACTCTCTATGTAGCCCTGGCTGTCCTAGAACTTATCACATAGACCAGGCTGGCCTTGAACTCTCAGGGATTTGCCTGTCTCTGCCTCCTGAGTGCTAGGATTAACGGTGTGCGCCGCCATAGCCAGCTTTTTTTTTTTTTCTTACTACCCTTTACTACATCACAGAGGCTGGCTCTGATGTCCTGGTCCTCCTATGCAAGCCGCTACATCTGATTACAAGGCGCTTCATCGTCTGCAAGATGGCACGGTGGTTGTGCTGGGATTCCTTACGGATGCACTTTGCAGATTCTAGGGCAACCACTAGCCAAAGTTAAAGAACAAAACTGAAGGTGCTGTGCTAAGGGTGGAAACGGAAGAGTGGAAAATGCTCAGAGCGTAGAGGGGAGAGGAAGATGGGAAGCTAGAAAAGGAGATGACATTTTTCAAAACCCAACCCCATTCACGATAAAAACAAAGCAACAACAAAACAACTCACTATCAGTAGGGGCTGGGGAGACGGCTCAGCGGCTAGGAGCACTGGCTGCTCTCCCAGAGGACCCCGCTCAATTCCCAGCACCCACATGGTGGCCCACAACTGTAACTCCCGATGTGGTGCCCTCTTCTCACCGCCGTGGGCACCAGGTATGCATATGGTAGACAGACACACACGTGTGTGAAATATCCGTACTCATAAAAACATCCAAAAAATAAAATAAACATAATGTGCGAAATCCTCCTAATACGCAGTGGTAAGAAAGCAACCGATTGGTGAGATTATGGCTCAGGGACCAAGGCACATGCCGCCATGACTCCCGGAAGTTGTTCTCTGACATCCGCTTCTCTCGAATCATGTTCACACGCACAATTTAAAAAAAGGTAAACAGAAACTATTCAATTAAAAAAAATGGGCCAAATACCTTAACAGGCGTAATGTGTGCCATCAGGAAAAATGACAATCAAAATAGTGACTCTGCAGTGTGATCCCACTGCCCACCAAAGTCGGAGCACAGACACTGCCAAGTATGAAGAGCGGGAACTCTGGCCCACAGTAAGTGGGGGGGGGGGGAGCACCCGGTGGTGGTGGAGCTGTGTTAGATGTGGTGACACCTTGCTTGCACAAATAAAGCCTGTCTGGGGGTCAGAGAGTGGAGCTTGCCACTAGCTAACCAGAGTGGTCAGACAAGAAAGCATGGAGGAGGGGCAACAGCTCCTGTATGTGGTCACTTCACATCTCCTAAGACAGATTACGTCCCAGAGACAATCTTTGCAAGAGTTTCAGGGCCATTCTACTCTGTCTCAATATGATGGGATGGGGGGGTGTGGGATGGGGGAGGGGGGAGCAACACGTGAAACCGTGGAGGGGTTAATATCTGTGGCTGCCAGGACTTAGGTGGGAAAGAGGGGGTGAGCAGGCAGAGCACAGAAGACATTAGAGCAGGGAAAATTCTCTGCATTGTCTATAATTTGTGTGTGTGTGTGTGTGTGTGTGTGTGTGTGTGTGTGTGTGTAAACCGCTGTACATTTGTCCAGATTCTCAGAATGTACAGTGCCAAGGGTGAACCCTAATGCCATCATGAAGCTTTAGAGCATACAGCGTGTGATGCAGGTTCAGTAACCTGGCAAGTACATTGCTCTGCTGAGCAATGTTGCTAATGGGGAATTCCTGCTCCTAACGTAAGGACAAGGGAACCATGGGAAACCGTTGAACCCGCCTCAATTTTACTGTGAACTAAAAAAAAATTCTATAAACAAGGTTTTAAACTTATATAGAACGAGGGGCATGCATAGTGGCACATGCCTTTAATCTCAGCTCTGGTGGGGGTGGGGGTGGCAGAGGCAAGTGGGTTGCTGTGAGTTCAAGGCCAGACTTGTCTACACATCGAGTCCCAGGATAGTCAAAGTTTCACAGTGAGACCCAGGGTAGTGGCATCAATGCAGTGGCATCTTATTTCCCCAGGGGACTTGCGGTGGGAGCCACTATGGTCCTGTCTCAAACCAACGAACAAGCAGCACACATATATACGGAAAGCAAATACATGTTAGCTGTCTTGAAGGTCTGCTTGTGAAAGAGAACCTTTCCGGCAGTAGGGAATACATGGAGGAAATGTTGTCTGGCTGTACAGTCAAAGGTGATGAATGAAGATAACATGGCTGACGAACAAACGAGCTGTATTAATCCACCCTTGTGTCTGTCCCTTCTATGCAGACACTCCACCTTTGCCCAGGACAGTACGAGTTACTCCCAGCTCCTGTTCCCAAGAGTTCTTCCAGGTAACTATAAGCCCACCGAGCTACTCTGGAGCTCACACAAGACCTCATGTTTACATATGTGGCTATGTACCAATTCCGGTGATTTTTAAGCCTTACCAGGCACCTCACGTCCAGATTAGCATTTTAAAGTATTTAGTGAGAGATGAGCAACAAATTAACAAAGATCTTCACTTAAAAAGAACAGATTTAGAAAACCTGTATTTTTTTTTCATACAGGAGCTTCGTATTTCGTTCTGAGGTTCAAAGATTCCCACCAAACTATTTCACACCTGTAAGTAAAGCATAGAGCTTTAATGCAAAGTGGACTTGACGCTGGCTCCTCATGTATCATCATTTTGCTCACATAATAGTAAGCCATGAATGAATGACTAAGGCGGTTGACACAAGTTATGCAGGCTAGCTACATTCTACATATCTGTGACAAGATACTACCCCAAACAACTTGGGGGAGGGGAGGGCTTCATTTTGGCCCATAATTTCAGAAGCTTTAGCAGTATGGTGGGGAGGGCATGGCGGAGTTTATGGTGGCGGAAGCACGCAACACTGGCTTGTTGCCATTCACAGAAGGTACAGTGCCAAGTGTGAACCCTGATGTCATCATGGACCTCGGGTGCAGAAAAAGCAGGCCAGAGCCAGAAGCTTCAAAGGTCTGCCCCTAGGGACCTGCTTTGGTCAGCCAGGCCTTACTCCTAAAGGCTCCACAGCCTCCAAAATAATGGTACAAGTTGGGGTCTGGGTGTCTAACACACGAGCCTGTGAGGGACATTGACTTTTGAGCCATAGTATTGTGGATGGATCTGGACCCTCGAGATTCGTGGCCATCTCAGAATGCAAAATTGAATTTAGTCTAACTTCAGCCCATCCCAACCCGGCTGATAGCCTCAGCAATCCCAATACTGTTCAGAGCCTTTCCCAGTGCTCAAGGCAGATTCTCAGCTGTGAGGCCCCGTAAGGTAAAAATACAAGTTGTGTGTTCTCAATATTCAGTGACACAGAGTAAAGAGTCCCACACCAAATGTATTGGGCATGTGATGGAGTCACCCGGGCTCTAATGGTCAGAGTTTCCCATTTATGTAGCTTTGACATTGCAGCCTATGTGGCCTTACTGCAGCTCTCTTGGGTGCCTGCAGTTTTCCTTGGCCGCCTATGTCCCATGCTCTTGGCATCTCCAGCATCCTGGGGCCTCCGCTACAGCGTAGGCTTTACTTCCAGAGCTCTCTGTACAGCCCTGTCAGACACTGCTACCTCCAGGAACAGAACACAACCTTGCTACACATTGCCTGGCCTTCCAGGCTTTTCTCTAGAACCTGGTGCAAGCCTTGCTGATCCATCACTTTTGCAGTGTGCGTGCCCACAAAACCAGAGCCATGTGGACAACGCCAGGCTTTTCTACCAGCTCTAGATGAAGTGCTGCTGCCCTGGCCTCCAAGTGCCGGTGCGGATAAATCTGTGGGCAGCCGGCATGCACTTGGTGGGTACACACACACACGCAGGCAAAGCACTCAGACACATTAAAAAGCACACCTGAAAGTATTTCTAGCCGGGTGGTGGTGGCGCACGCCTTTAATCCCAGCACTCGGGAGGCAGAGGCAGGCAGGCGGATCTCTGTGAGTTCCAGGCTGTGCTGGACAGACAGCCTCCAAAACAATACAGAGAAACCCTGTCTTGTAAAACCAAAAAAAAAAAAAAAAAGTATTTCTATAAAAAGTACAAGAAAAGGTAAATTTTGTACCCCATTTCCAGCAAGGCACTCTGACTCTGTTCAAACTGAAAGTCTTTTGACTGCATTTCTAGTTTGCATCCTGGCTCTTTCAGTAGCAGAGGACTTGTCCTCAGAGCACCTTTCCTATTGTCCTAGTGCGAAGCACGTGATCTCTCCTAAGTGTCTCCGATCTCTCTAACTGTTGCTGCTTTGTCTGTAGTACTTGCTTTGCCTACAACTTCAACTGTATTCACATTTCTTTTTTCATCAAACTGTACATTTTCCAAATCCCTCTGCTCACCCCTCTGCTTTCTCTTATTGTAAATCTAGCAAAAAGCAGCCAGCGGCAACCATGCCATAGCCTGCCTGCTGTTGTTTGAAAGTTTCCTCTTCCAAATTAATTAGTTCATTTTTTTTTATTTGGTCTCACTTCCGTTTTCAAGACATGGTCAATTTTTAAAATATTAATTTTTCTTTTGCCAAAATGTAACACAAATGTCGGATTCCTGACAGATTCTTGTTTCATCCTGAAATCCGTCTACCATCTGCATGTCTGTCACCTGAAGGACCCATCATGCTCTGCACAAAGATTCTAGGGCATCTGTAGCCTGCAGCTCCAAGTTCTCACATTGCTTTTCTGAATGAAGCCCCAAAGCCTGAGAACTTCAGGGCCTGGTTCACCTCAGCCATGATTCCAACTTTCAGGGTCCATTTTCTGGGGTGAGGTTTTTGTTTTATTTTCCTTTCACTTTTTGTAAAAATAGTTTTAGATATATTTAACTCATGTGTATGAGTGTCTTGCCTGCATGTGTGCATGCCTGTTGCCCACAGAGGTTAGAAAAGGGCACTGGATCCGATGGTTGTGGGCACACTGTGTAGGTGCTGGGAACCAAATCCTCTGGAAGAGCAAAGGACCTGAGCCCTCTCCCCACCCCATGTTGTTTTTCCTTGGGATAGGATCTTATTATGTAGCTCTGGCTGGCCGGAAACTCACTGTGTAGACCAGGCTGGCCTGAAACTCACTGTATAGCCTTCCTTAGCTGTCCTGGAACTCTCTGTAGACCAGGCTGGCCTCTAACCCAGAGATCCACCTGCCTCTGCGCGCCCCCCACCACAGTGCTGGAACTAAAGGTGTGCAACACCACACCGAGTACCTGTTTTCCTATATTAGCTGCTTTTCACATCACAGCAACTAAGACACCTTGAGAGAGCCCACAGTGTCAGGGGACTTTCAGTCTGTCACAACGGGACAGCAGGTTCACAGAAGCGGCTCCGCCAGTCGCTCCCTGGAGTGGGAGTGGGCAATGGTGGGTCTCCAAACACTGTTGGGAAATCGTCTATAAAATAGACTGCTTTCAGGAGGCAATGCATTCACTAACTTGTGTTTTAAATACCAAGAGTTCAGTTTTATTTATTGTATGTGTGTGTATGCTCACACATGTGCACTCCCACGCATGTTGGCGTGCCCTTGGAGGCCAGAAGAGGGTGTTGGACCCCTGGAAGTCCTGGAAGTGGGGTTCTAGCTGGTGTGAGCTGCCTGATGTGGGCACGGAGAATGAAGTCAGGTCTTCTGGAAGAGTGGTGACAGGGCTTAACTGCCGAGCCGTATCTGTAGCCACTCTAACGACGATTACACAACGCCAATATTACACTTACCTGTGTAAAACAACCATTACTCTTTCTGCAATTCCAGTATACGACTGGCCATCAGACTGAGGAAAGATGATCAAATGTGATTTCCTAAAATATTTTTATTCTCACCGAAAACAATACTCATATGTCAAATGTCACTTGATGCCATGGATCACAACAGACAGCCGGGCTCTCTCTGTCCCTTCCTCCTTCCATTCCCGCTCCCTTGAGGGTAATCATCTTTAACTATCATAGCTATTTCTTCTGGTATTTTCCTATACAACTACTTTCTAAAACTTTAGGCGTGATCTCTCAGTTCTCTCTGTATGCAGCATGAACTTGTAAGCCCCCTCATAGCATTTGATACATTCTGATTTTGCTTCCTGTCAAGCCATGCATTTCTAGAACTTTCCATACTCTTGATATCAATAACTGCTTTAATTTTGTTTAGTTTGTTACGGACTCTAGCTTCATTAAAAAAAAAAAAACAAGCAAACATACAAATAAGCAAAAAAACCCGAAGAAATTCTTTCTAGAAACACAGGAATCAGATAATTCATTAATTGCTTTTATGTTTTCCCCTCTGGAGTGTCCTGCCTGTCCATCTCTGCCCTGTCCACAACACTGTTGTCCTCTTGTAGTCTAAACTAATGCTTTCTAGCCTCATGCATGGTCTTTCTGGAACATTCCTTCACAGCCTCCTTAGCTATGCCTTGCTGCATGTCACTATGTTGGTAGAACCCATTGTTTCACCTCCTAAACTTGAAGCTGTGGGCCCGGCTTCACATCTTCTAAAACAAGGTGTGGAGACACAATGTTCCCAGTTCCGTAGCTACATTAACATGTGAAATAGCGCAAGACACTTGACTAACATTTTTTGTAAGTATTTTGGAATGTTTCTTTTGTGAAGGTCCTTGCCCTGGTCTCTTCTCAAACACTACTTTATCCATTCCATCTCCTGAATAAAATCATTTCACTGACTTGGAACATCCTGTCCTTCAGAAAAGGGAAAAAGGTACTTTCAGGGAAAATGTTCACAGGCAAAGGATTAGCCCAGGGCTGTGATTCATGTCTGTCCTGAACACACATTCCTGTATCAGCTGTGGGTTTGGTTTAGACCTATAAACTTGTAAGCTGCCTGGAGCAGGGTCCTTTGATCTGAGCAGTGGAAGACAATGGCAGTCAGGTATGAGCGTGCCAGCACAGAATGCTTGTGAGGTGTGAGTGTGCTAGCACAGAATGCTTGTGAGGTGTGAGTAGATGCTTGTGAGGTGTGAGCGTGCCAGCACAGAATGTTTGTGAGTGTGAGTGTGCCAGCACAGAATGTTTGTGAGTTGTGAGTGTGCCAGCACAGAATGCTTGTGAGGTGTGAGTGGATGCTTGTGAGGTGTGAGCATCCAGCACAGAATGCTTGTGAGGTGTGAGCATGCCAGCACAGAATGCTTGTGAGGTGCAAGTGTGCTTGTACAGAATGCTTGTGAGAATGCCAACTTTCTGGTCATAAATGGAAGAACTCAATCCAGATAAATTCACAAACTCTTTTTTTTTTAAAGGTTTTCGAGACTGGGTTTCTTTGTGTAATAGTCCTAGCTGTTCTAAAACTCGATCTGTAGACAGGCTGGCCTTGAACTCACAGAGATCCATCTGTTTCTGCCTCCTGAATGCTGGGATTAAAGGTGTACATCACCACCACCTGGGTAAACTCACAAACTTTTATACTTAATCCATTGTAATTTAGTTTCTTATCTGAAAAAAATCATGTGGCTGACTTTATCATTAAGTTTAATTTCCCTAGAAATTAACATGGAAGTCATAGAACTGTGAGAAACTTAGACCTGGAAGTAGCTTCAGAAGTTAACTGTGCGTCGGTTTCTGGCTCTAGGCATGGCTTTCTGTGCTGGGCATAGACTGGAGCATTCTCTCCCCACCACTCCAGG